GTAGTCAAACCGATAAAACTTATCGGCCTTTCAGTGTTGCCGCTACACCATCCCCCTCCTTAGAGGCATCTTCCTCGATTAGGCACTCATCCCAAAAACGTACGCGCCGATTTTTCTTACTGGCTCTCTTGAACATTGCTATCTCCTCGTTAGGAACATACGCTGGCTTCAACCTATCGATGGTCACCGTGACAGGTTTGGCTTTAACGAGAATTGTAAATGTTTTCGGGTGACGCTCCAGCACCTTAAAAGGACCTTCGTATGGAGCTTTCAATGGTGTCCTCACAGTGTCATCCCGAAGGAAAACATATTTGCAGACCCGTAAATCCTTGGGCACGTAAACCACCTTACTACCATGAGTTGACGTTGCAATAGGGCGCATTTTTTCGAAGTATACGTGCAACTTTTGAAGAAACTCGTGTTCGCCAATGCGCGGAGTGTCCGCTTCGAAAAAAAATTCGCCCGGTAGTTTCATCGCCTGACCGTAGACCAGTTCCGCCGTGGATGCTCCTAAATCTTCCTTCACGGCCGACCTCAGACCCATCAGCACCACAGGGATCTGATCCGTCCAATCATGGTTCCCAGCGTGACAACGCAACGCGGTCTTAAATACTCTGTACCATCTCTCGACTAAACCATTAGCCTGCGGATGGTAAGCTGTGGTCCGCAGATGTTTAATACCGAGAAGCCGAGCCATCTCATTAAACAAATCGCTTTCAAATTGCCGTCCTTGATCGGTGGTTATGTATTTAGGAACCCCGAACCTGCATATCCAACCGCTAAACAGAGCTTTAGCCACTGTCTCCGCTGTAATATTGGGCAGCGGAATAGCTTCCACCCACCTAGAGTAACGGTCGATGCAGGTGAGACAATAGATGTAGCCATTTGATTGCGGAAATGGACCTACTAAATCTATGTTTATATGCTCGAATCGTTTATCAGGTACTGAAAATGTTTGCAGCTCGCTACGTGTATGGCGGGTAACTTTACACCGCTGACATTGCTGACAACTCTTCACCAATGCCCGTATATCGGAGTTCATGCCCTTCCACACGAATTTGCTTGCAATTAGCTTGATGGAAGTTTTGACGCCCGGGTGAGCAAGCCCATGTAGGGCCTCAAATATCACCTTACGCAATGATTTGGTTACGTAGGGCCGGAGCCTACCGGTGGAGGTGTCGCAGACTATATCTATGTCAGAGTTCTGCAGCCTGTGCTTGCTTAACTGCAACGAGGTCGAATTTGACTCCATCAAATTTTTAAGCTCCCCGCAACTTGACTGTTCGTCTCGAAGTGCCGCATAGTTTATCGATGAGTTATCAATTCCCTCCATGCGTGATAACATGTCTGCAACTATATTTTTCTCGCCCAGAACATGCACTATTTTAACCGTAAATTGGCTAATAAAATCTAGCTGTCGTGTCTGCCGAGGGGAAAGCCTTTCCCACTTTTGCTGAAACGCGTGAACCAACGGCTTGTGGTCAGTATAAATGGTAAATTGCGTGCCTTCCAAAAAATAGCGGAAATACTTCACAGCGGAGTAGATCGCCAATAATTCGCGATCATAAGTACTATATCGCTGCTCCGTCTTGCTGAATTTTCTTGAGAAAAATCCCAACGGCTGCCAATCACCTTGCCTTCGTTGTTGGAGCACCGCTCCCATTGCCTTATCCGACGCGTCGGTCATGAGTGCCAGCTCTGCATCTTTAATAGGGAACGCTAGCAAAGCTGCATTAGCTAATTGGTGTTTTAACTTTTCAAAAGCCGCAGAAGCTTCCGGCGTCCAGTTTAACAAAGATCTGTCGCGCTTTTTGCAAGGCCCCAATATCTTCTGTAGGGGTGTCTCAATCTCGGCCGCATGTGGTAGAAAACGCCGATAAAAGTTAACAGCGCCTAAAAAACTTCTTAGCTCGTGTGCCATTTTAGGCTTTGCTCGAGCGATTAAAGTTTCCACGCGGATTGGTAGTGGCTTAATACCACTTGCTGACACTGAATGCCCCAAAAATTTCACTTCTGGCAAACCGAGCTGACATTTGTCCAGGTTGATCACCAATCCCTTCTCGCGATATCGGTCAAAGAGTTTTCGCAGGTGCCCTACATGCTCCTCAACTGACGTTGATGCTACCAATGTGTCGTCCAAATAGGGAAAAACGAAAGGCAGATCTCTAAGCGTGTCGTCCATAAATCGCTGAAACGTCTGGGCCGCATTGCGCAAGCCAAACGTCATATATCGGAACTCAAATAGTCCGAATGGTGTACTGATTGCGGTCTTGGGCACGTCTGCTGGATGCACCGGTATTTGGTGGTATGCTTTTTTGCAGTCGATAACAGAAAAAATTTTCTTTTCAGCTAGATCGCTAGCAAAGTCCTGTATGTGACGGATTGGGTATTTATCCGGGATCGTCTTAGAGTTCAGCCGCCTGTAGTCGCCGCAAGGACGCCAACTGCCGTCCGCTTTCTTTACTAGGTGCAAAGGACTGCTCCATTGACTTTTTGACCGAACGCATATGCCGCTATCCAAGAGATTATTAAATTCTCTTTTCGCTACTGCCAGCTTTTCCGGTGGTAGCCTACGCACCTTTTGTGACACTGGCGGTCCCTTTGTCTCAATGAAGTGGCATATCTGTGTTTCAGTCCCTTTACGTCGCGCCGGCTCCTTCAACAGATCAGCATATCGGATCACAAGGTCGTGAAACACGCTGGTAGATTTAATCGTCGTTATATTTTGATGTTGGCGGGACATTCTACACGCGCTACGTAGGTCTGACCCATTGCGAACCAACGCCTTGTCTCTTACGTCGACAAGCATGCCGAAATGCTTTAAAAAATCTGCTCCCAATATAGGATGCGTCACGTCAGCGATGGTGAATATCCATGTAAAGTTTTTTTTGCAGGCCTAGATCCACGGTGAGCTGTTTCTGTCCGTACGTATTTATATGAGTGTTGTTTGCTGCTGCTAACTTTACTAATGAAGCTTGAGAATTGTCGTTACTGTTGCGTGGCACCACAGATATTTCTGCTCCGGTATCCACCAAAAAAGAAAGTTTTGAAAGTCTGTCCTTAATGAACAGGCGACATGCGTCAGGCCCTATCCTTTGATTAGTCGCCGGAAAGGACGGGCCAAGTAGTTTTCCTGCGCTTCAGGTCGAAAATTACAAGGTGATTTGCACCTGGTGGCACGGGCACCGAATCTGCGATGATACCAGCACAACTCGCCCGATGGTGATCTTACACTACGAGAGCGCGCACGAGGCGAATAGCTACGCTGACGGTTTGTAGCGCGAATAACTGGTTTTGACACACCCAGTTCTAAACGCTCCAATCGCTTGTTCAATTCCATGATTGTGCCTTGCAAAGATGCGACTGCGCCTACATCACCACTAACAACATTAATGCCAGAGTCATCAGCGACCGCCATAATATTGTCTGCCTTCTCCGCTAAGCTGTCCAGCTCTCCAGTTACAGTTTCCAAAATTTGTTGCACGTTCCTTGGAAGTTGACGCAGCCACAGCGACTTAAGCACCGCCTCGTCTAAGTGACCATCTGCCAAGTCTCGCAATTCCCGAAGGAAAGTTGTCGGCTTCCTACCATCTATTGTGTTACCGCTCAGCAAACGCTTCATACGTACTTCCTTCGATTCGCTGAATTCCTTAATTAGGCGCTCCTTCAGTGCGTTGTACTTATTGCCTGCCGGAGGCCTTTGGATAATATCTGCTGCATGCTTTAGCACTGAGGAATCAATTTCTGCGACTAACGTATAAAACTTAGTCTCATCTGTCGTAATATTTGAGCGAATAAATTGGGCTTCAACCTGCTGAAACCATAGCCGAACATCGGGCTTCCAAAATGGCGGCGGTTTAATTGCCACCCGAGCGATTTGCAAATTCGTAGCATCTACGAAAATTTCTCCGTCTCCTTCCGTGTGCATCTTTACTTTCGACGGGGTCACCACTTTGTAGTGTTTGAATCAAGTTACTTTATTTATTAAATAGTTTAATTC